GGAGAAAAAAAAAAAAAAAAAAAAAAGACAAAATATGGAAAAAAAAAAAAAAAAAAAAAAAATTAAAAAATAAATCTAAAAAATAAATAAAAAATAAAACTAAAATAAATTAATTTAAAAAATAAAACATTATTAATTTAACCCTTTTAAGAAAAATTAATTTAACCATGTTAGGAAAAAATATTAGAAAAGTTGTTAGTGAAAATAGTAACCCCCCTAATTTACAATTTGATACGTTCAAGTTAATTTCAAAAATACTATCCATTTTGTTTAAGTGATACCGTTCAGGACTACAACTTCAAAAGCAGATAGATATAATGATATGAAATCTGAATCCCAACAACTATCAGTACAAGAAGATGAATTAGAATATAATTAATGAAAACGATATCTCAATTCAACTAGATCGTTACAGTAGTTGGCATCAATTATTTAATATAGATGATATGAAGATTATCCAAGAAACCAATTAATAGTACTTATTAGAAGATATGATGAGGAAATTTAAGTAATCATAATAACCACAATTGAGTGATAACGGAGGTACAATTGGTAAACGACATGCTAATATACTAGTGCTATAAATGTTGCATCAATAAAGATTTTGAACAGAAATATACTATAGCTAGATTATGATAAATGAATCAATAAGATCATTCCAAAGAGTAGGCTATTAATATTGAAAAGATAAATACAATTGAATGAGCATTAGCAAGATCAACCAAGAGATTATAGCCTACCTCACCTTAAACTAAATGAAGAATTTGAGATTTAAGTAGTTCTATAGGAAGCTGTATAGTGGAATTTATCAATTTGTATTTACTTGAATGATATAAGTATACGATCACCCTTTCATCTTGATGCAGGTTCTTCATTTTATGTTTATGTGAATCATTAACTACAAAGAAAGCCATTTCCAGCATCTTCCTAATGTAAACACTTGCCATGGTAATTACAAGAATAACAATAGTACTAGAACAACAAAACAACATATAATTAAATATAAATTTATAAACATAATATATAAAGCAATCAATTTAACAACCAATGTCCATGTCTGCAATCTTGAATAATACGAATCAATAATAATTTATGATAATGATCATTCTTCTCACCCACTCTCGTTCCAATCATTTCCAACCAATGTTGAAAGCAAGGAGTACGAAATAGACCTTCGAAATATTTACCAAAGTGGTCGTCGTGATATATAATAAAGAAAATGATTTTAAAATATATTCCAAACGGGCAATCATCAACAATTGTATCAGCTTTATTACCATTATCATGGAAATTACCGCACCCGTTACAACCAGCGAACTTGAAGAATATTGTGGGAAACCAAGAAGCAAAACCTTGGTATTTACCAAAAACGCTGAACTTCGTTTTATTAATATCAATCTTAAATGAATCTTTCAAATCAACACCTCGAACCATTGGTATAGTCTTACCATCACGTATGAACTCAGTAAAAAATACAGGATTAAGTCTAACTTGATAAAACAACTTCTCTAAGATTCTTTTGTATAGAATTGAAACATATGTTTTTCCATTTATTTTATACGTTCTCAACATCTTATTATATAAATTCCTTTTATATTCCTCCACCTTTGTCAATAGGTTTTCTTTGTTATCGTGAACAATTTTAAGTATTTCAAGCCCTTCTCCTTTTCCTCTAAACTCAATTATTTCCTTCTCACTTATTAAACCCACCATTAAAAGAACTGAAATAGTTCTTGTCATATTATTTAAATAACGACACTCTTCAAATGAAGATTGATTATCACGACAGAGACCTGCAGGTAAAAGACACTGATCACAAATAGAACCTTCTTTATCGGGACCTAATATACTCTTTAAAACACCCTTGATGTAAGCATAAGTAAATGGAGCAAATAGTTTGTTATCGGTTCCAATGACATCATCTATTGCCTCAAATAATGCTTCTAAGCTTTCCCTTTGCAATCTTTTCATTTCTAGTTGTTCTTCGCGTGACTCTTCTAAAGATGAATCAATAGGTGTTGGTTCACTATCTGATGAAGACATTTCACTATCTGATGGAGATTGCTCTTGATCAATTGAATATATTTCAGGGTCAATTGTGGATAATTCTGCATCAGAGTGATCATCTTCAACCTCTTCAAATCTGTCATTCTCTTCAATGGGATCAACTCTTCGTCTCTTCCTTGATAACGATTGTTCAATAGACGAAGAACGTAATTGAGGCGGGAAAGCAATCATGGATACAAGTTCTTGTAATTTTGGATTCTTCTCAGGATGCCTTAAATCGAGGCTGCAGCAATTGTAGTGACCGGGATGTTCCAAATGATAATGCTCAGCAAGCTGTTCCGTTAAGCACCGATTTGGATCCAAAGGCTCATCGGGTTTTTCCAAGTCATCTATTTCATCTCTCGATTCTTCCAATCGAGGTGTTCTCACTACTAAGCAAACTCCTAAGTTTCTGGTTCTGCCTGTGGTCTGGATGTATTCCATACGCGATGGTAAATAATTATAAAAGACAACTAGGTTCATATTCACATCAATGCCTACCAGGGCCACGCATGTCGCAAGGAGTATCTTCTTCCCTGTCCTTAGCTTTTGGAATTCTTGCCTCTTGTTTTCAGTATCGCCGGTAAGAACAACAAACAAGTCCTCATTGAATTCTCGCTTAAGCATCTCATGTTTCCTGGCTAGTTTAGTCTTACTACCAAAATATAAAAACACAATTGAATTCTCTTCTGGTTTGTATCGAAGAAAATTCCGAATCGTAGAAATAATTAAAGCATCTATGACCTTATTGGATTGAGTTGGTAAGCAAAGTTGATAAATTCCATCATTGGGTACTTGGGAAACGAAATTTAATGTTTTTGGATCAGGAACCTTGAGTCTATTAGTAAGATCATTTTTAAAAGTTCTACCAACTGTCGCTGAAAGATAAATCCTCTTCCAAAACAAATGTAACGTTCCATCTGCATAATTCATAAATTGTCTAAAAGAATATTCCTGAAGAAGGCAATGTATCTCATCGAAAACCACAAGACCCAAAGCATTTGTTTTAGCAAACCTCAAGTTAAAGTTTGCAATAAATTGGTTGAATTCATCTTTGACAAACTCGTTGTAAACACCAACCATGACATCTGTTTGAGGAGAAAATTGGGCAAATTCTTTCACGGATTGAACAGTAAGATGCAGCTTTAGTCTATCAATTAAATCAAAGACCAAAAACGTATATGGGACCATTATTATCGAAAGTACACGCTTATGGGTTTTTGGATTCTGTTGATGGCGAAGTTTGAATGCAATAAGCGGGATAGTATAAAGAAGGGTTTTCCCATACCCTGTAGGAGCCTGGATAAATCTATCAACAGCTTCACCATAAGCTATATCAGTAACTGCAAGTGCTTGATTGGGATCTCTATATTGGAAATTGTCGTACATTTGTTTACCAGCTCCCTGGATGTCTTCTGTGAACAAATATCTAAGCAGGTTAAACTCGGTTGGACATTTCCTTGGCCCACTAAGTTCAACAAATTTACCCTGAGGATTCAGATACCCAATATTAATAAAAGCAAAGAAGGAATTGAAATAACCTTGTGTCAACTCAATATCATCTAAATAATGCATGCTTTCATTACAATCCAATGTAACACCATAATGCCCGAACCCAGTATCAGGATGGTGACCAGCCTGTGCTTCACTCAATCGTTTACCAACAGCCACTATGTATTCCTGTCTATGTTCCATTTTGAATCGAATAAAAAACGCAACAGCTTGCCTCAAAACTCTTATCTTCAACACATCACCAATATTGATCCCAAGCACCTTTGCTTGGAATGAATACATCTGCTGTAAACTTATTAAGCTTCCTTCACTATTAACAAACAAAAACTTCTTATAGAAGACTTCCTTCATTACATCTGGGTCTCGGATATTTTGTGCGTCAAAAATCTTCTCTTTAATGGTAGGAAAATTAGGTTCTAAAAGACGAATTAATAACCCTCTTATCACTGTAACGTGAGTTATAATGCATTCCGAGATTTCCCGTGTTGTCATACGGACTCGTCGAATATGTGTACGGTTCTTGTTATAATGCAGTTGAACTAACACCAAACCATCACGGAAAACCAAATCTCTTTCCTCGTAGGAATCCCCATGGAAGTTTAACCAAAGAAGCTCGGTACTTCTATACGAGTTGGCTCCAGCCAGATACATAGCACAAGCCAATGCCTTTGTCATTTCATCTATTATCTTTAGCAAATCCTTCTTCTGGTGCTGCTCAAGCCCATCATCATTAAGTCTTCCATTATCAAAAGAACCACCCAAGCAGACACTGCTATAATCAGTTTTTGCTGTTTGTATAAATTCTTCATAAATCTCACTAATCAAATAATAACTGTTGGTGATATTACAAACTTGCTGGAAGTGGGTCTTATAAGCTTGAATTGATTTGAAGTAAACTTCCGTTAGGTATGATTTATCCACAGGAATACCATTCACATAGCACTTTCCATCTTCATCACTAGCTTCAACATTGATGTTTCCTTGACCCTTAGCTTTCAATAGTGCCTTGTGGAGCATATAAAGCAAATAGTATCCCTTGTTGATCTTCAGCCAATCTCGGCCTGTTGAAAATTTGTCGATAACATGTTCATCTGAAGTTAAGAATACACAATACTTGTAAACATTCTGGAGAATTACCAATTTCAGCAAGATTGTCTGGTTATTACAGAAACTACCACCTTGAAACTTTCTGAAAAATGCAAATAATAACGTTCTCAAAAAGGTAGTGCCATCACCAGATTCAAAATGACAAAAAAGATTAATCATTTTCAAAATGCGAACTTCATCACTGCTTGCTTGAACAATTTCATTAACGAGTTCCTTACACCTTTCAGAACATGTATTACCAATAAAACTAAAGCTTTGATAACAATGAAGAATACAATAAAAATGGCCAAAGTATCTGGAATAAGTGCCCAACGTTTGATCTTTGTGAATTCGATACAATTTATCTGGATCCTTTCTAAAATGAAATGAAGGAGCATAATAATTCCTGGAACTTTTATCATTCATGACACTGGTATAAATCAGAATATAGATCCTTTTTCCTTCATCAATTAGACTAGGCCTTGTACCCATCACTAAATAATCTAAATCTTCATTGGTGAAAATATATTCCTTAAATTCGTCTTCTAAGTAAGACATTGAATGTTCTGTCCTAGTATCTGGAAGATTGAAAGACAAATCCCTATGTTTACCTTGTGTGCTCCGTTTCACATGGATGACAAATGACTGGTTGTGTCCCATACTAACTTCAAGGCCTTCGACAGTTCCATATGTGGTGGCCCTATTCGGGGAAGTTACCAATTTCCTAAATTCAACTCCATCTACTGTAACAAACTTGGTTTTGAAGAATTTACTATCGACATAATCTAATAAAACAGGGTGCTTGAAATAATATAATCTAGTTTTGCGGTTGTACAACTCTTTCAAATCAAGTATACGACCACCACGACCTTCCACCAATTTCTTAAGTGTGGCATTAGAGTTAAAGAAGGAAGAGCCTGTTCTGACAATTTCCTTTTTCTCATTGATAAGCAAACCATGAACGTATATGAATTTCTTTATTTGTCTATGCTTGGTTTCAATCATGTACACATGTTTATCTTCACCTAATTCGGTGATTCTAGGGAATTTGCGGTTTTCATTTTGTTCATCAGATATTGGAATGGTAGAAATAGGTTGTTGGGCAGGGGTAATAGATTCCAGAATTTCATTACCAATAATACCAGGAGATAATGCATCAGCATTCAGCTCACCTTCATCAGATTCAAAACCACCACCAGTAGGAGACAATGGATCAAGATTCAATTCATCTATTTCAAATTCAACAGTTCCACCACCAGAAGGAGAGAGCAGATCAGGAGTCAATGGATCAATATTCAATTCATCTAATTCAGAATCATCAACACCAGAAGAAAAAGCATCATTATTCAATTTATCACCACCACCAGCAGGAGACAATGGATCGGGATTCAATTCATCTACTTCAGAATCATGATCATCATTCAACTGTTCACCAGCAGTTAATTGATCAGAATTCACTTCAGGAGCAGTTAAAGCATCACTACTCAATTCATCTAATTCAAATCCAGGAGCATCATATACAACTTCTTNTTCCCTTCTTTTTGCCAATAAAATAGCAAATGGTCCAGGAACTTTAGCTGGCACTGGTATTGGTTCAATGGTCTCAGATTGGGTTGAAGTTGCATCAGGTAATGGTAAATCTGTATCATTTGTATCAGAATAATAAGAATCACTATCTTCAAGACATTCCTTAACTTCTTCTATTCTTGAAGTATCTGGGGTAGGCAACATTTGAACATTTCTCCTTAAGTTGGCATTTAATACGGCTGGAGCTCTTTCATTTTCAACAGAAGCATCTTCTTGTCTACAACGAAATAACAAATCATCTTCAAGATTATCTAATTCCAGCTCACTGAATTCATCTTCAGAGTCCGAATACGCAAATAAACGATGTTCTTCAATATCTTCATATGTTTCTAAATCTTCCATTTCAAATAGTAATTGATTGCAGTTAAAGTAATAGACAGAGAATTGAGAAAATTTAAGTAGTAAGTAGAGAAATCAAGAAGTAAGAGAAACGTATGTATTGGGATAAAAACTCTCTTTGACGGAGATTTACAATATACAATATCGAAACAGATATGGACGCGTCTTATTAAATTCTATAAAATATTTTTAATATACAAACGGGGTTCTTAAATTAAAACAATCTGAATTATTTTTTATTGTTTTGGTTTGGCTATCTATATAAAAAAAACCCGCATCAACCGCAGTTATTCATCAAGCAACCTGCCGAAGAAGTTGGTTTCTCACTATAAATTCCGTATCAACCGCATCTACTACTCCATCTTATCGACGGCTGAAAATAAATCTTCAACGGGAAAAATCCTTTTCCTAAACTCGAACTTTCAAATTTTCTCTTAACTATGGCATCCACTAACAAAAAAAATCCTCAACTTGAGGTCTACTTTTCGCCCACTTTCGCCCTATTCCAAAGCTCGAACCAATGACTTAACACAAGGGTTATGACTTAAAAATATGTAAAAAATTTACCAGAAAAAAAAGTTAGTACTATAAATCTGTAAAAATCTTACAAAAATAACTTCAATTGTTAAATAACATGTAGCTCCTATGCAATGTTGTACTGTCATGAAATGCTAATATAGTCCTACGACTACCCATAATCACTACAACAAGGTTATGATATCTCCCCAAAGCAAAGTAGCTAAGCATAGACCAGA